ATGGGAGGCAAGAAAGCTCTAAATCAAATAGACTCTTCCATGGAAATTGCCGCCAAGGTCAAAAATCTTACTCAAAGATTTGATAAATTCCTTTTGAATCAAGGTCCGGCAATTCAATCTTATTCTCATCCTTCCAATGAAATGTGTATGACTTGTTCTAGTTACACTCACCATACTTCAAATTGCCCTCTTGGACAAGTCATACCAAGTGAGTCTCAAGAACAAGCAAATGCAGCTTTCATTCATCAAGGGAACAACCCTTATTGCAATACTTACAATCCGGGGTGGAAAAATCATCCTAACTTTGCATGGAGAAATCAAGGAGACGGTGCAAACCCTCCTCAAAATCAAGGTTATCAAGCAAAGTATGTTCCCCCACATCTCCAAAATCAGAATTCTCAAGGTTACCGTCCTTCATTCTATCCTCATAATATGAATCAATACTCTCAACCTTAAGCATCAAATTCTCAATCCTATTCTCAACCTCAAGCATCAAATTCTCAATCTTACTCTAATCCAAATTAAGCGCCTCTTAAAAGTTCCGCTTTTAAGGACAAGGTCTTGCAAGCCTTATGTGATCTTCGAAAAGATAATCAATTATTTCATTCTCACTCTCAATCAATTGCAAAGCTTGAAGCTCAAATCGGGCAATTAGCTAATTCTTTAAATGTGAGAGAGAAAGGTAAGTTGCCTAGTCAAACCAAGACCGATCTTAAGGGGCAATTTATGGCGCAAGCAAGTCCTTCATTAGAATTTTCTGGAAATGAGCAAGTTCAAGTAATTACTACCTTGAGGAATGGTAAGAAAGTGGATAATAAGGTAGAGGTACCTAAGGAGGATAGTGAACTGATGCAACCAAGTGGTAGCATCCGTCCCATTCCAAATCCTATTCCTATTTCTTTGGATGGTAGTGGTTCCAAAATGGACATTCCGTCATCTTCATCATCATCTCCCCAATTAGAGAAGCCTTATGAGCCAAAAGCTCCATTTTCTCAAGCTTTGAGAGAGACTTCATCATTTGGGAGACAAAAAGGGAAAATTCATGATATGATAGAAGTGTTTAAACAAGTAAAAATCAACTTCCTCTTCTAGATGCAATTAGGCAAATTCCACCATATGCAAAATTCTTGAAGGACTTATGCACACAAAAGAGGAAGAGCAAGGGAAGGGACCTTAAGAAAGTGCTTTTAATCGAACAAGTGAGTTCCATCATTCTGTCTAACACTCCTCCTAAGTTCAAGGATCCGGGTGCTCTGACCATTTCTTGTGTTATTGGAAACCAAGAGGTTCGTAGAGCTCTCCTTGATTTAGGTGCAAGTATCAATCTCATTATATACTCTGTTTACTTGCAGTTAGGATTAGGGGACTTGAAGTCAATATCGGTAGTAATCCAACTAGCCGATAGATCAATTAAGAAACCAAGGGGAATTGTTGAGGATATTTTAATTAAGGTTGATAAATTTTATTTCCCGGTTGATTTTGTGGTACTAGATACTGAGCCAGTCCCTAATCTCACCAATCACATTCCAGTCATCCTAGGAAGGCCATTCCTTGCCACTACCAATGCCACCATTAATTGTAGATCCGGCATTATAGATATCTTTTTTGGCAACATGATGGTTAAGCTTAATGTATTCAATGAAAGTCAACATCCACAGATAAAGACGAGTGTTTCCTAGTAGATGTCTTGGATGAAACCATAGACGAGACTCTTCCCTCTATTTTGTCTAAGGACCCTTTTGAGGCGTGCCTTTGCGAAATGTTTGAAAGTTGTGGTTTTGACACAGAAGGATCCATAAGTGAGGTGAATGCTTTAATGGACTCTATGGCGACTTTGGATTACCCACCTTGGAAAAGCAAGAAAGAACCTCTTCCTTCACTCTCTAGTACTCCACCAGTTCCATCTCTCATCTCTCTTCCTATTCTTGAGCTTAAGCCCCTTCCATCAAATCTAAAGTATGCCTTCTTAGGCCCAAAAGAGACTCTTCCGGTCATCATTGCTTCCAATCTTGAAAATGACCAAGAGAATGATCTTTTGGAAGTGCTTAAAGCTAACAAAGAAGCCATTGGATGGAGTGTGGCTGACTTAAAAGGCATTGACCCTTCTATTTGTATGCATCGCATGCACATAGAAGAGGATGGAAAGCCATTTAAGGATGCTCAAAGGAGATTGAACCCAAATATGAAGGAAGTTGTCATAAAGGAGGTTGTGAAACTTCTAGATGCGGGAATCATTTATTCTATCTCTGATTCCAAGGGGGTTAGTCCAACTCAAGTGGTTCCCAAAAAGTTGGGAATCACAGTTGTTGAAAATTTTTTGGGTAATCTCATCTCGAAATGCACCGCCACTTCATGGCGTGTTTGCATAGATTACCGAAAACTGAATTCTGCCACTAGGAAGGACCATTTTCCATTGCCTTTCATTGACCAAATCTTGGAAAGATTGGCTGGGCAACAATACTATTGCTTCCTAGATGGTTATTCAGGGTACAATCAAGTAGCCCTAGATCCATTGGATCAAGAAAAGACCACATTCACATGTCCTTTCGGTACATTTGCTTATCGACGGATGCCTTTTGGATTGTGCAATGCTCCTGCCACTTTCCAAAGGTGTATGATGTCAATTTTTTTAGACATAGTGGAGAAGTATTTAGAAGTCTTCATGGATGACTTCTCGGTTTTTGGGTCCTCATTTGATTCGTGTCTCCAAAATCTCAAAAAAGTGCTTTAAAGATGTCGTAAGACTAATCTTGTGTTAAGTTGGGAAAAGAGCCATTTCATGGTTCAAGAAGGAATCGTGCTTGGACCTATCATCTCTAAAAGAGGAATAGACGTAGATAAAGTGAAAGTTGAGCTAATTTCTGAATTGTCTCCACCTACTACGGTGAGAGAAATCCGCTCCTTTCTAGGACATGCCGATTTTTATCGCCGGTTCATCAAAGACTTTAGCAAAATTGCTAGATCCTTGTGCAACCTTCTTGCCAAGGAGACTCCATTTGTCTTTGATGAAGCATGCCTAAATGCTTTTCATCAACTTTGCACTCTTTTATCATCCGCTCCCATCATGCAACCTCCAAATTGGTCCTTACCATTTGAGATTATGTGTGATGCTTCCAACTTCGCAATGGGTGCTGTTTTAGGGCAAAGGGTAGGTAAACTACCATATGCTATATACTATGTGAGTAAGACTTTCTCAGGTGCCCAATTGAATTATTCTACCACCGAGAAAGAATTACTTGCCCTTGATAAATTTCGGTCATATCTCTTAGGATCCAAGGTAATTGTGTTTTCCAATCATGCCGCTCTTAGGCATCTTTTAATGAAAAAGGAAACCAAACCTTGTTTGATAAGATGGATCCTACTTCTTCAAGAATTTAACTTTGAAATCAAGGATAAAAAGGGCTCTGACAATGTCGTTGCAGATCATCTATCTAGATTAATAGTTGAATCTTCTCCAAATCTTGAACTTCATGAATCATTTCCAGATGAACAACTCTTTCAAATCTCAAATGGGATGTTCCCTTGGTTCACCGACAATGTTAATTATCTTGTAACCGGCAAACTTCCCATTACTTAGTCAAAACAAGAAAAAGGATCGATTCTTTGCTAACATCTAGAAATACTATTGGGAAGATCCTATTCTGTTTTGTTATTGCCCAGATCAAACCATAAGAAGATGTATGCCGGAAAGTGAAGTTCTGAGCGTCCTTGTGTTTTGTCACACACTTGCTTGTGGTGGGCATTTCAGTGGAAAAAAGACCGCTTTGAAGGTTCTTCAAAGTGGGCTCTTCTGGCCCACTATCCACCGAGATGCCTATAACTTTTGCACGGTGTGTGTTCGGTGCCAAAAGTTGGGATCAATGTCAAAGAGAGACATGATGCCCTTAACTTCAGTCTTCGTTGTTGTAATCTTTGATGTATGGGGCATAGACTTTATGGGACCATTCCCAATGTCTTATCGCTTTCAATACATCCTCATTGCCGTTGATTATGTTTCAAAAAGGGTTGAGGCTTGTGCTACCAAAACGAATGACCACTACGTGGTAATTGCATTCGTTAAATCAAATATCTTTGCCCGTTTTGGTATGCCAAGGGCTACAATAAGTGATGGAGGAAAACATTTCTGTAATCAATTCTTGAAGCAACTTTTCTTGAAATACTCCGTCACACATAAAGTGGCCATTCCCTACCATCCCCAAACAAGTGGGCAAGTAGAGGTGTCAAATAGGAAAATCAAGCATATTCTTAAGAAAACTGTCAATCCGACCCGAAAAGATTGGTCAAGAAAATTAAACGATGCTTTGTGGGCTTACCGGACAGCTTACAAGACTTCAATAGGCATGTCTCCATATAGACTTATTTATGGGAAACCTTGTCATCTTCCGGTTGAGCTAGAACACAAAGCACTTTGGGTAATAAAAAAGGCTTAACTTTGATCTTAATAAGGCTAGAAAGGACCGTTTGCTCCAACTCAATGAGTTAGAGGAATTGAGAAATGATGCCTATGATAGTTCAAAAATCTACAAGGAAAGAACAAAAGCATTTCATGATAAACATATTGTGAAAAAGTCTCTTGAGGTCGGTCAAAAGGCTTAGTTATTCAACTCTAGGCTCAAATTCTTCCCTGGAAAGCTTTGAACCAAATGGGAAGGCCCTTATCAAATCATCTCCGTCTCACCTCATGGGGCGGTTGAACTTAAAAATCTAAAAGATGAAGGAACCTTCAAAGTAAATGGTCAAAGGCTAAAATCATACATTGATGGACAAACTTTTCAAAGAAATGTGGAATCTGCCCTCTTGCTAGATCCCATTTACTTTGAAGATTGAGAGCATCTCACGTCTTTCTAGCGACGTTAAACACTAGTTGTATCGAGTTTCTCCTTCGTTACATTTTAATTTTCATTTTATTATTATTTTATTTTATTTTAATTTTTCCTTTTGTACATTTATGAATTTTTAAATTCAAAAAGAAAAAAAAGTAACAAAAAAATAATAATAAAATAAAAAAAATTGTAAATGGGTAACGTAGGTTGGTGTTTGATTTTATTTCTATTTTATAATTATTATTTTTATATATATTTCATGTTAGTTTTGCTTTATTCAAAAACATAAAAAAATTTAAAATTAGAAATTTTTTTTTTTTTTAAAAAAAAAAAAAAGGTCGATCCCAAAATAGGTGGGAGATCGATCCCATTTTCTTGGCAGAGAGCAACAAACAAATAGCCTAAGTGGATCGATCCTCCATCCATGTGGATCGATCCTCCATACACGTGGATCAATCCCATTTTACTTGTATTTCCCCTTTCCCATTACACAGTGAAGGGGAAATTTTTTGCCTAAAATTATAAATCCCCGTCAAAGCAGATCGATCGCCCCTTAGCCCTTGAAACAACAAATACATTCCTCTTCTCTGTTCTTTAAAATTTTGCTTCTTTCCCCAAAAACAAAATCTCTAAACCCAATTTCATTGTCCAACCTTAACGGTTGGCTCTTCTCTCCGATCGCATCTGGGTCGTCTTTCCGGCGTCACATCTCTGTTCTTTCAACGGCATCGCAGCTGGGTTCTTCTGGCGAGCTTCCCAGAGATTCACGGCTATTCGCGAATCGGATGTTCTTTCGGCGATTTTGATTTGGCCGACGGTTTTTGAGTTTGTGAATCGCCGTTTTCCTTCCGACGATTTTTATTTGGTTTTCTCTAGCGATCGCGGCTGTTCGTCTTTCCGGCGTCGCGGCTGTTCGCTGTTCCTTCCGGCGATTCAGATCGCGGCTACTTCTTCCAACGGCGATCAAGGCTGGTTCTTCTCCGGCCGCGATTTCTGACGATTAGGTTCTTCGTTTCTTGATTTCCGGCACCGGCTGGATTCTCTTCAGCGATTTTGACTGGGTCTTTCCGGCGAGAATGCGAAACGTCGTTCTCCCGCGATTTTGGCTGGATTTCGACTGGTTCTGCTTCAGATCTCGGTTGGGTCGCGATGGGTCACTGTTCTTCACTGATTTTTCTGGGTTGCGTTTCCTTACGGTGAATTTCTGAATTGCCGTTTTCTTCCGGCTAGCTTTTGAATCGCCGGGTTCTTCTCAAATCGCCATCGCAATTGCTCTCTCTCTGACGAACACGGCTGGGCTCTTCTCGCGGCTGTTCGTAGTTCTTCTCCGGCGTCGCGGCTTGGCTGCTGGGTCTCGCCGGCGATTCTTGGACTGGGTTTACCTAGCGCTGCCGGTTGTCTTCTCTGGCGAGCTTGTGATGTTTTTAAAAAAAAACAAAAAAAAAAAAAAAAAAAATTGAATTGATTTATTTTAAATAAAAAATAATAATAATAAAAATAAATTAATTAATTAAAAAAAAAATTCACTAGCATTCTGTCTCGCTAAAGACGTTAAACTTAGCTCTTTTTATTTATTTATTTTTTTTTATTTTGTAGGTTGTATATACATTTTTTTTTTTTTTGTTTCTTAAAAATAAAAAATAAAAAACAAAATCTTAATTTTCTTTCCATTTATTATTATTTTTTTATTATTATGTATATATATATTTATTTTATTTTAGTATATATTTTTCTTTCTAGTTTAGTATATTTTTCTTTGTGTTAAAAAAAATAATAAATAAAAAAAAAATCAAAAATATGTGTTTCCAGTATGCCCTTCTGATTGGTTAGGAATGTTTTCAGATTTTATCAAGAGTTTCATCTCATATCTCTTTACAATGTATTATATATTATTTTGAATTGTATGAATTGCTTATCCCATGTGATATTTGATGTGAGTTTGCTAGTATGGTTATACAGATAGGTTTTTGCATCCAAGTTTGGGGGAGACATCTTTCCTACTGAATCATTGCCGGACTTCATAGTCTTTACCATCACGGTATACTCTTTCCATTATTTTTCATTATTCTCATTGCACATTGAGGACAATGTACAGTTTAAGTTTGGGGGTAAGGTCATCATGATTCATTATATTTAAGTTAAGCTTTAAATGCATGATGAGATTTGAGATGGGTTTGGCAATGATTTCGAACTTTTGAAGTATAGTTCCTTTGAAAAGTAAGTTGTTAGGGTCTAATACTTCTTGTATGTTCTAGGATGCCATTTAGGGGTAAATTTTTAATTTTTGATATCATGTTTGCTCTTGTGGTACATATTATCTTGTTGGTTGAAAATGCTTTGAGAGTTGATTCTAGAATTCTACACTTGCATTTGCGCACACTAGCATTCAATTTGTGGGGTACATGCTTAGTTGATTATTGTCTTGGTTTTTCCTAATTGAGCTAGTATGCTTTGAAAGCTTTCATTCTTGATAAAATGACCTTGTAAAGAAAAGAAATAAAAGCACTCACCAAAGGTGAAGAAGAAAAAAAAAAAAAAAAAAAAAAAAATTGCATTCTTTTAACATGTCAACTGATTAAAAAAGAATACAAGGAAAGAATGTAAGATGTATGATTAGTTTGAGTTCGTAGCCTAGCCATTCCGAGTCATTACGCCCTTAGGAGTGTCTTTACACTTAACGCCCTAAGACCATCTAGTTTGGGAGTCGTTGGCTCAACGCTTGTTACATGGGGTGATTAGAGAGTTTAAGGACTTGGACATTGCACATGGTCATACATAAATATATATATATATATATATATATATATATATATATATATATAAAAGAATGTTTGATTGAATAACAAGGTTCATTCAATGTCTTGATATCTAGTACTATATCTGTATGCTAGTTTGAAAGTAAGGTTATGCCATTACTTTGATTTGCTAAGATAGCAACACATTTTGATGCCGGTTCACTAAAAAAGGATGATATAATTGATTTAATTTGCATAATTAATTAATTGATGTGTGGAGGACCATTTTTTCTTACATAATGTTGAAATGTTGATAATAGCTTAGAAATGGCAGAAATTTGCATACTTGAGGTAGTCTACTTTCAACACTTTTTAATATGTGTCGTTGCTTCTCAAGTAAGAAAGAGCTTTTAATGTTTATGGGTACCATTTCTGGAAACCCTCACCAGACTTCACTCGTCCACTAGGGGTAACCTAGGGGTTTAAAAGGCTTGTTGCATATGCTAAATACAACCGTGATCCCTAAGAAAGTGGTGTTATCTTTATTTGCTTTATTAGTTCATAGTTGTATATATGTTTGTTTCATTTCCATGCTTTAGTTCATTGTTAGGGACTAGCAATATCTAAGTTCGGGGGCGTGATAACTGCTTAAATGTTGCACATTTCAGCACCTAAGCTAGGGTATTTCAGTCTTTGCATCTATCTTAATTTCATGTTTTAGTCCTAATTTATGTTTATGTGTATTTCAGGGCAATAAAGTTAAAATGAGCTAAAAACGGTCCATTAAAGCCTTTTTGGAGTCAAGCAAAGATATTCAGAAAAAGTTCAGAAAATGACAAAAAGAGGTCGTAGCCCATTGCTCGTATAGTGTGTTTATTCTTCGAAAGCGGTCAATCTCGGGCCTTTGATGATGTTCCCAAAGATGAAGAAGCAAACCAATTAGCCCGGAGCCAAAATGGAGCTAAATAAGGCTTAAAGGAAATTTCCAACTCTGGGGGGATCGATCCCCCAGGGTGGGGGATCGATCCCCCAGGACTTGGCAACATTACAGATTTTTTTTTATTGTTTGGGCTTATTTTGTGAACTATTGGGCTTTAATAGGGTTGTTACTTAAGGCCCAGTGAGCCATTAGATTAGGGTTAGTATTTATTTTATTTAGGTAAATATTATTAGATTATTGATAAAAGTTTTTATATTATTATTCTGTATCGATTTTTTTATTCTCTCTGAAAAACACGAAGAGGAAAAAGCTAGGGTTCTTGAGAAAAACTCAGAGAAGAAGAAGAGGAGCCAGATGAATCAAAGAATGGGGCTTGTTGACATCTTGCATCCATCAACCATGAGTGGCTGATTCTTCAACTTAGGGTTGGATAAACCCTAAGCATGTAACCTAATTCTTAACTCTTGACTTTTAGGGATTAATTTGTGTAATTTATGTTATAGCCTTGATATATATATATATTAATTCTTTCATTTGATTGTCTATGTCAATTTCATATTGTCTTATATGTTTTTGAATGATAATCAATTTCTACACTTGATTTCTTTGTGACTTGAATCTTGTGATTGCTATATATTGTTTTAATTAGATATAATTGTGTTTTGATTTGATGGAAATTGCTTTTATTAGATAGGTTGTACTACAAAATTAGGTTAATGTCTTGTCTAAATAGTTTAATTTCAGGCTTAGTTAGTTTAATTTAAAGTTAATTAATTTAATTGCAATTTAATTCCTAGGTAAGTAGACAATCCATACTAGTGCTTGAAATCCATACTTATTGTCACAATTGCATTACCCTCTAGATTAATGTGTGTTGAAATTGTAACTTAAATTGATGAATCATGCTTTGAATTGGTGAATTACACTACACTTAGTTTAATTATCATTAGGTAGTTGATTCATGCTTGAAATTGATGGTTTATACTTTTTATTGCAATTATTAGCCACATTCTAGATTACACATTTTTATTCCCTAATTAGTTAAAAGTTAATGAGTTAGGGAATGTGCTTAGTGGTGAATCCTTCACCCTAAGTCTCTTTTCAATCTTTTATACTCTACTCTTTATTTGCATTATTAAGTTTAAAATTAGTCTAATCACAAAACCAAACCTTTTTAGCAATTACATAAGCACTAAAGTAGAATTCAATTCTGAAAAACCTATAATTGTTTAGATCTCTTGGGACGATCCCTGCTCACTTCATACTCCATAGTATAAGTGTTTAGTGGTTTTATAAATTCTAAAATATGGTGCCCACTTGACATTATTTCTAAACCTAAAGTGTTGTGCATTATTTTGTGCACACGCTCGGTCACACCAGGTTGCACCGATTCACTATCTTCCTTTGGTAGTTCAACCCTATTGTCCACTTGCTTACCACTTCTCAAGGTGGTGATGGCTTCACTTGAGCTTGGGAAGAACAGCCCGATGTAGAGTTTGCTTCTACACAAAATTGGGCTTTTGGATTCCTCTCGGGTTGACTAAGTAATTTCCCAATTTCTCTTGCATTCAACGCATTAGCTATGGTCCCAATTTGGGATTCTAGCTTTGATATGGATTGAGAGTGGGAATGCAACAAGTTGGTATCCTTCTCTAAACTACCCAAGGCCATCAAAACCTTATCTTCAAATGTAGAATTACTAGAAAGTGCTTGAGGATAATGAAAGCCAACTTGAGAATCATACATTTGAGGATGTGAGAGGTCATTCATTCTTTGATGATGGAAAGAAAAAGAAACAAACCCTTGAGAATCTCCATTTCTTTTATGTGGTGGAATGTATTTTCTTTGAAAATTTTTAGCTTGATAAGGGCTTGAGCTTTCATTCCACAATGGAACATATGCATTTGAATAAGGGTGAACAAATGTAGCATTAACTTGTTCAAAGTGTTCATTAACAACATGTCCATGGGGACAATCAAAAGTAGTATGCAAAACACTTGAACATGTCATGCAAGGCTCACAAAGATGAGTTGTATGATGAAAAGGAGATGAATTGATAGCCGGTTTTTGATTCAACAAGAATTGATCAAACTTTTGAGAAAGAGTTTTAACCTCGGCTACAATTTCCCTTGAATTTTCAATTTGACACACTGTTACACTTCTCCTTTTTATTAAAACCATGATCAAGCCGAGAAGTGTAATATTTATGCAAAGAGTTTTCACTCATTTTTTCAAAAAGGTGCTAAATGTCATCTTCATGTTTTCTAAAATACGAACCTCCACATGAGGTATTAACTATGTCCTTTTGCATGTCGGATAGGCTTTCATAGAAGTATTGGACAACTTACCATTTTGGAATACTATGATGTGGACACTTTCTTAGCAAGTCATTCAATCTCTCCCAAGCCTCATGCAACAACTCTCATTCCATCTGAAAAAATTCTCTAATTGAAGCATGCATTACATTGGTCAAACTTACGGGGTAAACTTTTAAAAAAAACTCATTTTGCATTTATGCCCAAGATGTTATTGAATTTACCCTTAAAGTATTGAACCAATGCTTTGCTTTATTTTTAAGTGTGAAAGGGAAGAGAAGTAATTTAAGAACTTCCTCAGGGACATCCATCTACCTCACAGTGGAACATAGTTCAAGAAATTCATTAAGATGCCTATATGGTTCCTCTTCATCTAAGCCATAACAGAGTGGACACATTTGAATGGTCTCAGGCTTGATTTCATATTGATTAGCCTCAAAATTAGGCAACACAATGCAAGTAGGTGCATGGTATGCATGAAGATTATAATGATCACGAAGGACCATTGGAGGAATTGGAGCTTGAACTCCGGGGCCATGTTGATTAAGAAGGGGATTTTGCATGAAACGTTGATCTAAGTAGCCAAGATTACCCTCTAGATTTTCCATGTGAATGCCTAGAATGAATGATATGACAAGGTCTATATAAGACTACAAGCGACACACAAATCACAACAAAACAAGTACTCCTCCTTCGCAACAAGTCAATAATCAATAAACTTCCTCCACATACAATGTTCCCATACTCCCATGCTTTAACAATATGCAAACAAAGTAAATTGCCTCCACGTAGGCTCACGATTTATCTAAGAATTGAATTACAAGCCTCCACGCGGGCCGACGATTTAACTAAGGGATGAATAAAGAAAAGCTCATAAAGGTCCTTTAGCTTAGCAATTTTTTTTTTTTAATTTTTAGCATTTTTCCTTGCTTACTTAGCTCATTTGCCTGAATGCTCCTTTGCTTGCTTCCTAGCTCACTGCTCCTTGTCAATCAAGAACAAACACAATAAGTAACAAAAATTGAAAACAAAATAAAGACACGATCAAAAGAGTACTAATTCCAAATTGATTTCACAAATACGACGTTACCAATCAATCAATCCCCGGCAACGGCGCTAAAATTTGACGACGGCCGTTCCTATATGCCAAAATAATGTAGTAAATGTGCGATTCAAGAAAAGCCTTTTGGGTCAAGTTTAAATTTATAAAAACCACTACCAACACTACTACTAACGTAGCAAGAGTGAGTAGGGATCGTCCCAAGGGATTTAGTTGTCGTACTAGCCTGAGGAATCAAAATTAGGGTTAGTAGGTCGAGTGATCAAAATAGTGGTTGGTTGGTTGAATTGAACTAGTTGCAAATTAAACTAAAGTAATTGAATGTAGTAAAGAGTAAGTAAGAGAGAGAGATCTTGGGGTTCAGAAGTCACCACCAAACAATACTTTTCTACACCCTTAACAAGTGACTAATGAATGAAATGTGTGTTGCAATATTGATGTGTGTGTGTGTTTGGTTGATTCAATTAGCAAGGATGACTAATTAAGTATATATTGTCTAAGCAACATGTGAAAAGCACAATATATCTAACAATTAAGTATATATTGTCTAAGTAGCCTGTGAAAAGCATAATATATCTAGCAAGTCATTAATCCTTTCATTAAGCTCACAAACCAAATACACCACAAGGTTAGAGACATATGCTACTTGCATTCAAAAGTATGGAATATCAAACAACAAGCATGGATTGTCCTCCCATCTAACAACTATACTACCACCACACTACAATTAAGCTAATGAAATGAAATTAAACTAATTAAACTAAGGGAGAGGCACAATCCATCAAGCAATGAGCATGAACCATCAAAAAAATTACAAAACCATTCCATTAAGCACTATGTTTTGACAATCTCTAGATCTATGGCATTAATACACATAGACATGCATCAACAACACAAGAAATAGAGACAAACACATGAACATCTATTCTAGCATACATAGACATATGGATAGAATGAAATGATCAATTGGAAGTATCAAACCACATAAATCATTGAATAAACAAGATCTATATATATAAGTGCCAAAACATGTATTACAACACTAATCCCTCAATAATACACAAAATCAAGATGTAGAAAGCATGTTTAGGGCTAACTCTAGCCCCAAGAGGATGTTTAGCCACTCATGGTAATGCTTCTCCAACCCTCAAGGGCAAACTCCATGGAAGAAATATACTCCTTGGTTGATGAAGAGCTCCCAAGCTTATGTCTCTAGCCTTCTCCTCCTTTCTTCCTCCTTAAGAATAGCCTGTAATGTGATAGGTGGATCCTTCTCAAAAAGTGTATCATATTCTATATATAGGTAGGTCAAGTGAAATACAAAATGAGCTGGGGTCGTGTATAAAATATTCCCCAATGATTGGATAAAGGACAACTTTTGTGAGCTGAAAATTAAACTTTTTCGCACTGGAGGAAGTTCGATCGATCGAACCTTGGACTTAGATCGATTAAACATAGCTGACATCTATTGAACTAAAGTTGGATCGATCCTCAATGGCGGCGCCATTTTGGATAAAAACAAATCTGAGATATTTCGAAGAAATTTTTGGGAAAAGGACAAAAGTGGTTGGTAGGGTGGTACAACTGGATAAGATCAATCATTTGGATAAGGATAAGGTAGTTTGATCAATCGAAAAATGATGTTGGATCGATCGAACTTTTGAGATCTCTGAAAATGTCATCATGGCTTAGATCCATCTTGAAGTGCTGAGATCGATCATGTTGGATCGATTGAACTTTGATCTGAGATCGATCAAAGATGTTGAATTCCACCTTTTGCTTCCATTTGGTTCCTTTTTTTGATTCATCCCAGAATTGCTTCATTTCTACTCTTATTTGGCTGAGTTAGCTTATTTTTGGGATAAGTGCCTGAAAATGGAAATAACACGAAATCAATCTAAAACGGTAAAGTAAGATAGAGAAAGGTACTAGAATACCTAAGTTTAAGGGGTTTAAATACGCACTTTTCAGCGCTCATCACACCCCTAAGCTTAAATATTACTAGTCCCTAGCAATGAACTAAAAAGTAAAGGAATGAAATGAACAACTATACAACTATGTACTAGAAAGTAATAAATGGATAACGCCACTTTTGTAGGGAACACGATTACATTTAACATATACAACAAGCCTTTTAAACCCCTAGGTTACCCCTAGTGAACGAGTGA